AAGAAACATTTAATAATAATAACAATTATATATTATTATTATTTATTATCATTCTAATGCTGATTTGCTGCTCAAGAAACATTTATTATTATTATCAATGTTAGAGTCAACTCCTTAAAAAACAAAACAAGAACAGCATTTATTTAAAATAGAAATAATTAAAAATGTCTTTACAGTCACTTTTGATCATTTTAAAACATCCTTGCTGAATAAAAGTATTATTTTATTTAAAAACCCCAGCTTCTAAGACTATTACTCAATTGAACCAGAACGAACACAACAATCAATGACTCTTTTGTGTAATTTAGGATGGTGGTATTGATTGTCTGGAGAGTCTCAGGTGTGTTTTGGACTTTCTCTCCTCGTCTGTCTTTTATGACGTCAGATGGAATGTCAGATGGAATGATTAACTGGCTCGAGCTGCTCGGGATTTAAAGACATCTACACCATTCGGCCTGACTGTTACACCATATGCTCCTCCAAATGCCTCAAACAGATGTTGCACTAAACTCTTGCTTAACACCCGGCTAAAGTAAACTAAACTAACCGCTAAGACATTATACAGCCAATCAATGGCTGCTGGGAATGGTATAGGGTTATTCCTCAACTGTGTGAGTTCATGCTTAATTTTGCACCCAAAATGAAAATGTTGTCACTTATGCACACTCAGTGTACACTCGTTTTCTCCTATAGAACCAAAAATAAGATATTTTGAAGTAAATAATGTATTACTAGTGTATATACACTACTGTTCAAAATTTGGTGTCAGTAAGTTTTTTTTTAAAGTTTTTGAAAAGTCTCGGTACAGTACAAAAATACTGTAATATAATTGTTTTCTAAATCAGCATAAATTTAAAGGCAGTACAAAATACTATATGATTACATTGTTTTATTATTATAGTAATGTGAATTACAATTTTTGCTTTACAGTAAAATCATTAAATAATAATCATAATCATAAAATAAAAAATCGTAATCATACATTACTCATTTAAGCAAAAACGATTTTGTAATTATTTTGATTTTGGAGTGAAATATGTGACCCTCGATGAACCAACCAGGCATA